TTAATTTCATTGACCCTCCACACGAGTCGAGGAAAAAGAGTTAAAAGAACTACTCTGGCGAGCGCCAGATGTACAGAAATTGCTCTTGCTCGACTAATAAGGGTCGACCGTGCGAAAGACTGTAGTTGGAACCCCCGCTAAGTGAATGAAAAAAAAAAGTAAAATGGAAGTGAAAAAGGGGTTCCAACGGTGAAATGATGTGAAAGAGCACCCCGGTATCACGAGTCCTTGATTGTGAATGGTGTGAGTCCCTTTATCCATGAACTGACTGTCTTACTTTCACTTCTTCTCATGATCCTTGCTTGAGTCTAGTACTCGCATTGAGGGAGATTGGGAACGTCTTAGAAAACCAGTTGACCTCGTAAGCTGCTATATGATCTAGAAAATCCTCTACCGACGATCGGGGTTGTTTGTTTCTATAGAGGTCTGGAGACATGCATTGGTTTGAGTTAGGTTTGTTTGGGGACAAGCAAACGGTTAAGTGTGGGGGAGTTTGATAGACCGTTAATTGCACATGTTTTTACCCCTATTCTTGAGCCGTTGGAGATGTCGATTCTTGCGTTTTTGGCCGATTTCACGCTAGGTTGTTCTTGTTTGTGTTATCTCAGGCCCTAGTACGTGATTGAAGGTTTGGGGACAAGTTCGGGGTCGATTGGATGAAGATTGGACATGTGGCGTGAAGCTGATGGAGCCACACGGGCACGCCTAAAACCTACACGGTTGTGTGGCACCAAATTACACGGGCGAAGTCACACGGGCCGTGTAGGGGACCCCCTGTGGCTGTGCGGAAATTCCAGGGAACTCACACGAGCATCCTGGAATTCCACACGGCCGTGTGGGTCGTGGCCGTGTAGGAAGCCTGAGTCACTTATCAAAACGTCGCGGTTTGCACAACTCACACGGGCAGCTGGGGATGTCACACGGCCGTGTGGCCTGGCCGTGTGAGTCGGGATTTTCTGGGTTTTAACCCAATTTTCAGCAAAGGGAAAGGAGGTCCCGAGTTTTAGAGAGAAAAAGGCGATACCTAGAGAGAGAAAGTGCGAACCTGACTCTGCAAGTGTCATAGATCGATCTCCATCACCATTGGAGCCCGGCTTGAGCTTGGAGAAGGCCTGATTGAGTGCCAGAAGCAGATTATCATCCTTCACAGTATGGTTTCCGCATCTCAGCTAGAATTTCCATCTCTCTCTATGGAGTAGCTTTCTTATTCACCTGAGTATGAAGAACCCTATATTTGTATGTTAGGTCTGACTGTATGAACCGAAGTACAGTTTCATTGGTATGATTATGTTCAATTGAGGTTTGATTTGTTGAATGGCATGAATCCTGATCAAATTCCTGTTATTTCTGCATAGGTTGATAGAGCACCCTTGATTGAAGGTAGTGAATTGGCGACTTTAGTCGAGGAGTCAATTCACTATTCTGTACTGAATTTACTTCGGTAGTGGAGGTTTGGTTCGTAGGGCCTCAATCTGTTTACTCCGGTGGAGGTTAGTCGCCCGCTGGAGACTCAGATTGAGAGGGTCTGGAGACCTTTAGTCGAGACTTTAGACTGTTTAAGAACCTCCCGCGGTATAACTATCATTGAACCTGAACTTGGTAAATTACAATCCGGCTTAACTGCAGTCTAGGGGGAACCATATCCGGGTGACCTCTCTCGACTTGAAAACAACCTTTTTACTTGCTTGCTTGTTTGCTTTAAATTGACCTTCACTAAAGTTTCACTGCTAAATAATAAGAACTCACGGAGTAGTCATCACATCTAGGACCCGGGTTGACATTAAAACCCAAACCCGCTATACTACGCTTTAGGAAGTGGTTACACTTGGCCATTTTCTAGAGTGACGGTAGGGGCGAGTCAACTGGCAAATGACACGCCTTCCCATAGACAAGCCTATAGGGGGGCGTGCCAATCGGGTTTATATAGGCCGTCCTATACGCCTAAAGAGCATCATCGAGCTTGGTGGACCAATCCTTGCTGGACTGATCCACCGTCTTTTCAATTATTCGTTTAAGCTCCCGGTTCGTCAGCTCGGCTTGCCCATTTGACTGGGAATGGTAGGCCACCGACACCTGATGATTAACACCATAGCGAGAGAGGAGTTTAGTGAATTTCCCTTGAAAATGGGTTCCTCTATCACTAATGATGGTGAGGGGTGTCCCGAACCGGGAGAACAGCTGCTTCAGAAATGAGCAGACCCATCTTGCATCATTGGTGGGCATGGCTTGAGCTTCTGCCCATCTCGAGACGTAGTCCACTGCAACCAGATGGAGGGAATGGGCCCATGAAATCGATACCCCAAACATCAAAATTTTCACAAATGACAGAAATATGTTGGGGCATCTCATCCCGAGCAGAAATGTTACCTGACCTTTGGCACCAGTCGCATTGTCGTGCGAAGGTATCCGCATCCTTGAAAACCAGAGCCAATAGAAGCCCGGTTCTGGTGGGGATTTGTGGAGGGGCGGCCGAAGAGTCATTGGGTATCGTGGAAGAGGCTCTGTCGTAGTAAGCACAAGGGTAGTCTTGTCTTTTGTCGATCTGAGCTTTTTAACGAGGCTCTGCTGGCTAAAGTGGCGTGGCATATCTATATGGAGCCTGATTCCCTGATGACGCAGATTTACAAAACAAAATATTTTCCGCAGGATTTTATCTTTTCGGCCTTTCCGCGATCCCGTCCATCCTGAGGTTGGCAAGGTGTGTTGTTTGGCTATCAATTGTTCGTGTAGGGGGTTGACTTGAGTGATTGGGTCGGGGGATGTCATACCGATGATGTCGGAGGGGTGGATTCCGATAATTCAACCTTCACGACCAGGTTTGCATATGGGAGCACCTTTGACAGATAATGAGATGGTGGTGGATTTGATTGATCCGGAAATTAGAGACTGGTGTTAGGATTACTTGGTGTCCGTCTTTGACCAAAAGACGATTCGGGCCGTTGTGTAGATCCCGTTACCTTGGGTAGATATGCCTGATAAGCTTATTTGGCGTGAGGACCCATCGGGGGTTTATACGGTGAAATCTGGGTACATGCTGTCGGAGCGTAAGTCACATTTGGTGGGTAGGAGAAAATTGGAATGCAGCACGATGGATCAGAGGCTATGGATTAAGGTTTGGGGGTATGCCCGTTCAGCCCAAGCTTAAGTTTTTTGCTTGGGATCTTTTGTGACGAATTTTGCCAATGATGGAGGCGTTGCGAGAGAAGAAGGTGCGGGTACTGGCGGTGGCTAGAGGAATCCACTGAGCATCCTTTTCTGCAGTGCCCGGTAGCGAGAGGACTATGGAAGGTGGTTGGATTAGCAGCTGAATTAGATACTCTGCCTATTGAGATTTTTAATTTTTTTCAGGCAGTTTCTGGATCGTGATGCTTCCCATTCGCGTGCCGTGTGGTTGATGTGTTTGCTATGAAGGATTTGGAAGGGTAGGAATCATGTGGTCTTCGAGGGACAAAGATTCTCCCTAATATTCTCAGGCATGAGTTCCTTCATCAAGTTGCTGAATGGTTGCAGGTTCCCAATAGGGTAGGGAATGGTGAAGTTGTGTCCTCTACAGATCCGGTGACTAATCTTCCTATGGTGGATGGGGCTCCTTTGGGTGGTTTGATCTGCTCCCTTGATGGGGCAGTCCGTGAGGGATCCCATGCGGCATGTGGGATGGTCTTAAGAGACGCGACTGGTGTGGTGGTGGCCGCTCAGATGGTGATGTTTAGAGGCCTTCAGAATCTGAGGCTTGTAGAGTTATCCACTTTGCGGGATGCTATTCGGTGGTGCCATCATCGTGGTTTGGAGGTCATTGCGATTGTGGGTGACGCGAAGATTGTCATTGACAAAGTCAACGCAGGTGGTGTTCAGGATGCTGCTGGTGGGGCTTTATTCGAGGAAATTCGACATCTACTTTCGGCTTCTTTGGGGTTTAGAATTTGATTTATGGGTAGACAGAACAATAGGTTAGCCCATATGTTGGCTAAGAAGGCCCTGTCTTTGTTTCCTGCGGGGTATAATGCAAACTATATTTTCGTAAAATAAAAATAACCCCCATAAAATCCCAACCCCACCCCACAGAAAAAGCTAACCCAAGCCAAAAGTTTATTTTTTTGGTTCCTACTTCCTAATTTACCAAGGTTGTCAAACCGAGGTCGGACCGTCCGGTCGGACCGGGTTTGGCCGAAACCAAACACTAAAAATTCGAGAGTCAGCCATAATTAGAACTGGCCGGTAGCCGCTCAAAATCGGTCAAAACTGGGTCCGGCTACTGGCTACAATGAAGTGTCGTTTTTGCCTGGTATGGATCTTATTCTAAACTGAATTCTAAACCCTAATAATTAACATCTCATCCCTTTCCGTTTCTTCTCCGTGGAGCGCAGCAACCAGCAGAGTAGAGCCCATGATTAATTGCGGCCTCAACTAGCGGAGCCGAGTCCCGCCGCCATCGCTCCTCACCTCCAAAGTCTGGATCCAGCTCCCTGCCTCCTTGACGCTGCTCGCCGTCCCTCTCCGCTCGTCACCTCGACCCAGCTCCCCGCCGCTGACGCTAGCTCCGAAAATTTTCAATGGGTGCTTAATTAGGTTTTTAAGAAATCTAAATTGATTATCGGGTGGGTACAGACCTTGAAAGTTTGCTATGATTATTGATTAGAAAAAAGGAATCCTTTTGTATTCCCCACCGCGGACTTAGCTTAATCCTCTGCATAATCCAAACATGCTTATCTTAAAGCTAACAAACAAACAAATTAATCCACTACAAAACAAACCCATTTACAATCAATCCCCACATATCTTGTCAAAACCGGCTTAACCCGGTTGAACCCCGATCCGATTATTAAACCTCAAACCTTTTGTCAAACCGGTTGGATAACTTAATCCGGTTTGTAATTTACTCTCTCTCTCTCATCGTCCTCATCAATTCAATCATCACTCCTCTCTCTCTCTCTCTCTCTCTCTCGTTATGAATTTTGTTCTCTGCAAGAGACAGAGCAGCAACAACAGATCGCCATCACCCTCCGCCGGCTCTCACTGACTCTCCCACCTCCTCTCCTCTAATGTTTCGATCAATGGATCGGATTGGATTGAATGAAGCAGTGATTATCTAAGCCCGCCATTCCTCTCTCTCTGTGGTTTCCCCAGCAATATACTTAATCCTCCCGCGGCCCAGGGCTCCTTTTCTCTCTCTAATCCTCTACGTAAGTCTTTGAATCTTTCCGCTGGTTGTTCCTGTGCCACTTTCACCTCAGTGGCCGTTTTTTGTTTGTTTGTTTCTTTTATTTTTTTTTCTTCTTCCGTTTCTGCTATATACTGGGCGATGCATGTATCAATAGGTGGTTTCTCTTCTGTTTTTCCAACAACCCAAATTTGATCTTGTTTATCATTTCGGGATTGTGCTTACTCTGCTTCCTCTCTGTGTCTTAGTTCAATTCTCACTTTTGGCCTTCCTGATTTTGCGTTTCTAAGTCTGCTGAAGACCCACTTATTCTCTGCATGCAGGGAATTCAACTGTTGAATTCTTTTATGGTTGACTTGAGGAATACCCAACCAACTAGTGGCTTCGTCAAATACCCAGGGTACGGTCTCGAGTTCCCTTTTCCCCTTTTGCTCTTTTTGTTTTGTTTTGCTAAGGGAGAACTTGAATGGTGTCTGTTAAGATTTACAACACTTAACCACTCTTCGTTTGTTCCTTTTTCGTTTCTGCTTTTCTTAGTCAGTTGCTTGCATGTTCTGTAGATGGATCCAGTTTGTAAATGTTATTAGATTTAACTTCCTCAGCTTGCGCTTCAGTGAGCAAGCCTATCCTTTTCATGACATGCATACTGCTTTTCGGGCCATTCCAGCAACCTTGAATTTGATTAATGTGAGTTTCATTGTTAGGGATAAGGGTAGGACCATTCTTTAATGTGGTAGCTGGCGTAATTCTTTACCACATTTATTGAAGCTTTTTCTGGTTGTCTAATGTTGCTGGTTCTCAAAGTTGATCTTTCTCGGGTAGTCTATTAGTAACTGACTCAGTAGTTGTAAGAAGTGGGAAAGCAGAGCAAACGAGAAGGTATATAAAAGAGAACCGCAACCATAGTGAGAGACCAGCTGCGTCTATGAATAATTAACTTTGGAGGAAATGGCGGGGAGGTCGAGATATATTATTGGCCTCTAATGTGAGACATTCTTCGAATTTTAAATGCAAGGGACAAAGACGAGGAAACTGATCTCCATGTTTGGTGTAGTGACGTTGAGAAACTCAGGGTCTTTGAGATGCAACAAGAACTTTAATTTTTATGACTAGTCGTTTGCTGATCCTGAAGGCACAAGTTGTATACAATAATCAAATTCAACCATGGACCCTAATGGTGGCAAAAAAGTGAAGCGGAGGGATCAGCTTGTGCATGAAAATGGTGATATCATACTTTCAATCGCCGGCGATGTAGACCCATGGACTGCATGGGCATACAAGCCACGCACGATCTCGCTATTACTTGTTGGTGCATGCTTCCTGATGTGAGTTTTTTGCCAGATTTTCTATGTAAAGTTTTTTTAAGTTTGTTTGATGCAAGTCTTCTCACTAACGGATTCAGGCATGTTTGAAATAGTTGGGCTAGTGGAGCCCTTGACCCTCAAATGAGCACAGGTGGTGATGTTGTTATGACAGTGAAAAGGTTGGCCTCTGCTTTTAAATGTCACTTGAGATGATTTTTTGCAAGGATCCTGGTTTTAGTGTTTTCTAAACTTTGTTAATTGCTTTATGTGAATCTCGACTGTAGGGGTGTATGGGCTATGATCGCAGTTTTTCTTGCTTATTGCTTACTGCAAGCTCCATCAACGTAAGGTTATTTTATTTTCTAATTTGGCATTTTCTGTTATACATGTGTTTAGCTGCTTGTTTACTCTGTTATTTTAGAGACTTTTGAGGACATGAAACATGATTTCACTTACTGATCAGGTGATCTTTGTTTACTCTTGGCAATGTTGGTGGTTATCTCTCTCTAAGTCGTTGAATTATCCATGTCAAAATATGTTTTGTAAGGTGGCAGATTAACTGCATCTTTTTCTTGTGCAATAAATTATCTTGCCGAAGTTCTTCTCTAGGAGATTGTGTTGCTTGAAATGCCGCCTCTTGTTTTAGCTGCTGAGTTTGTTGTAATACTGAATGATGCACTCGAAGATTTGATCAATTAGAAAAGAAAAATGAATTCTGAATAAAGTGTTTTAGTATCTGTGCAATGAGAGCATTTGAAATTCTATTTTGCAGGATTCTTATAAGGCCACATCCAGCACTTTGGAGGCTAGTTCATGGCATGGCGGTTATATATCTTGTCGCCCTCACATTTTTGCTTTTTCAGGTAGGCGAATTTCATTTCTGGCATCTAAACTGGAATGCTCATCTTCACTCTCTCGCAATGTTTCTGTTTCTTGCATTCATATCTGCCTGTTATTTGATATTTGTTGAGCGGTAGTAGTCATGTCAATTTGCATTTTTATACATAAAAGATACTCTTATCTCTACTGAGAAATCATTTTCCTATTTGTCTGCATGAGGTTAATGGCAAAGTTTTTCTCTTAATCAGAAACGTGATGATGCTAGACAGTTCATGAAGTTCCTTCATCCTGACCTTGGATTGGGTAATGATTTTCTCTATCATCTCTCTCATGACTTAACCCTTGAAATAGTCAAAGTCTCTTTCATTATTGGCTATAGTATTCTAATAAAAATTGCGCGCGCCTGTGCAGAGCTTCCTGAAAGGTCATATGGAGCAGATTGTCGTATTTATACTCCTGAAATCCTACAAGCGTGTTTAAGAATCTTTATGTATGATTTCTTCTTGCCCGACTTTCCTTTTTAGCACTGGGTTTCTTACTGAGGGGTGTCTTTGCCCCCCTTCAAACAAAGCCCATAGGTTGGCTGTGAGCGCTTTACTAATATAATAGTGAAAAGTGAGGCTCTTCTGCTGAGCGACGCTGCGAGCATGAGTGACTTTTGATTTTTCCCCTTTTTTCCCCATTGCTTTTACCGGTAGCACCAGTACTATGCCAAACTATCATTTTCGCCTCATTTAGTTTGGTTTGTTCAGGACACACTTTTTGATGAATTTGTTCTAGCTCATATTTTTGGATGGTGGGGCAAGGCTATATTAATCCGGAATCAACCTCTTCTTTGGGTGTTATCTGTTGGATTCGAGTTCCTAGAGGTTAGTTGGTCTGCTAATTCTTGGTGTATGTTTGGTTTCTCAATTTCTGTAAGTGTGGTTTGCTTTGAGCTCTCGGACAACAATGCTCATTTATGTTCTCTGGCATTTTCAGTTTACTTTTCGTCACATGTTGCCGAATTTCAATGAGTGCTGGTGGGACAGTATCATTCTCGATATACTGACATGCAACTGGTTCGGTGAGACTTCTTGAACAGAATGTTCATTACCCTCCTCTTTTCTATTTTTGCTGTTGCTCTTGGAACTTCTTTCTGATTGATGTTACTGGTTGACAATGTGAAGCAGCTAATTGAGAAAAAATTATATATTTGAGAGTCCATTTTATGGCGATGGCTAGAAGACTGAACTGTTGACTAAGAAATTATATTTTATTTGTATGGATCAAATTAAGGATTGGTATCGAAGGATATCCACACTGGGTACCTTGGTTACCTCATTCTTTTGCTGACTAGATTGCTTCTAGTTGTGTATTTATGTACGACTTGGTATATTTAGTGTTTAGTGCTGTAGTTTCTAAATTAAGTTAGTGTGGCTACGTTGGATATCTTCAGCTACTCTCAGGTGTATGGGGGCCTTATTGACATTGTCGAAACATGCTTCTTCAAATAGTAACATGTGCCGTATGAAGTTGATAAAGTTCTGTTAGAAGTTACAACCTTCTGGCCATCAAGTCCATGTGTCTCTCTTATTAGATTTAAGTGCCTACACTCTAATCTTGATGCAGGTCAGATGTATGGTCTTATCAGCTAATTGCTTGCTCCTCCAGTTGTCCACAGTGATAGTGCATTGACAATATCAGTTAAGTTGTGATAAAGTAAACACTAATAATCTAAAGAGAGAAAATGAAGTAATTGCTAAACAAGACCATTAGGGGCCTTAGTCAATGCTGAATATTTAGCATTCTTGAACTGGATGTCTCAAACAAGTTGAAGTTGCATTCTTCAACTGGATTTAGGCTGCAACCTAGGTTTAGAGAACTATATTCAATTAAAAAAAGTGCTATAGGAGTAGCTATTGACTAGCACTTGTTCATGATTTATTTGACGTACACAAGAAAGCTAAACTTGCTACTTCTGGCAAATCTAGTTCGTAAGGATCAATAGGACTTGTAATTCGGGGCTTATTAAAATTTACAGATCCGAGAAAGATAACGTTGACACCCTTCTAACTAATTCCTAAGTGATATCTGCTGCCCCCGCCCAGAGACACGGAAATGGTTGGTTGATTCTGGTTTATGATTTCGAATTTGTGCCTAACATTGTATTTCACAGGTATTTGGGCCGGGATGTGTACTGTAAGGTATTTTGATGGGAAAACATACGAGTGGATTGGTATTAGTCGGCAGCCTAATATTATGGGCAAGGTATGTGTTCCACTTATTTCACCTGGACTTTGTCCTTCGACTGTATGAGCTTCCAGTATTATCTGACTGTCAGTAATCCTCTTGTTGCTTCTTATGTCCTCTGCTGAACGTTCATGCTATGTCAGTGGATTTGTAGATGTTTCCTTGTTGGTGGTCTAGGAATCAAATTGTCGATCATTCTTAATGTTTAATTTCTTATTTCTTCCTCAGAGGACAAAGTCTGATCCCGATACCATTTTCTGCCATATCAAGAAGGGGCAGTGCTGATATCTTCTGAATCACTTTATTGTTATGGTTTGTTTGGCAGGTGAAACGAACACTAGGACAGTTTACACCGGCACAGTGGGACAAGGATGAATGGCACCCTTTACTTGGTCCATGGCGTTTTCTTCAAGTTCTGACCTTGTGCATAATCTTCCTTACAGTAGAGCTGAATACATTCTTTCTCAAGTTTTGTCTTTGGATCCCTCCACGCAATCCTGTGATAATCTATAGATTGATCTTGTGGTGGTTAATTGCCATACCGACAATTCGTGAATACAATTCCTATCTTCAGGATCGGTACTCTCTCTCTCTCTCTCCCCCCCCCCCCCCCCCCCCCCCCCCCCACCCCACCCCCATTTCACCTGTTATGGTGGGATCAACATAAATTAATTTCATATACATATTATGTGAGCTGTTATCAGAACACCGGTTAAAAAGGTTGGAGCTTTTTGTTGGCTTTCCGTTGCTATTTGCATTATCGAGCTTCTCATCTGCATCAAGTTTGGACATGGTATGTTCTTTAAGCATACTGATGCTTCCTCTTCACTTTCCCAACTTCTGATATCTTTGCTTGAGGCTGGTAATGACTTATAGCTTCATCTTGATCAGGTTTGTATCCAGCACCTATGCCTAGGTTGCTGGTCGTCTTATGGACTGGTGCAGGAGTTACCTTGGTAACATTCGTGCTTCTGTGGTCATGGCAATTGCATCGCAGAAGTTGTGAGAGAAAGAGACGATGATATCTTACAATGGTTTTGCTGGTAGTCACTCGTTATATCTTATTGTTTTTACTTGTCATAGTTAGTGGGGTTTGGGTAGGGTCTTGTACATACCCTGAGAGATTATCCTAGAGAATGTGGCATGATATAGTTGTTTCGGCATAGGATTCCTAGTCCATTGAGTTGCTAATTTGAACACATGGGTATATTTGGGTTGTGGGTTTCTTTCGGTGTAGTGTGTGTTTAAGGCTTTTATCAAAACTCTTGTGTTGGTCGGGAGATTTTTCTAAAGATGGTTTGAAGGCCGGTATGGGATTTTGTTTACAGGGTTCCTGCGGAAGTAGAGATTCGAGTGAAGCTAGCCCGAGTAGGCATTCATGATTGTTTGATTTAATGAAGAAAATAATGTGGTTTGGTTTTGATGTTCTGTTTCCTCCTTAAAAAGATTGTAATTTGTTGAATGGAACTGGATTTTTCTCATGTGTTATGGTGAATGTTCAGTGTGTTATTATAGAGTTGTGCAATTGAGTAGGTCCTTCCATGATAGTGGCCTTTATTAGGTATCTCCTGGAGATCTTTCAAATGCTCTGTTCTTGTGTATTTTACTAAGTTTTTTGAACGCCACAAAATTTGGGGAAGTGAGGCCAGTGGAAGCAACAAATTCAAATTCAGAAGAGGTTTAACAACAGCGTAATTTGGTAATGGGTGGTTTCTGCACCCCAGATGTTGCAATGGATTGGTCGTGCGGCCCACAGATGTTGCATGCCCATTTGTTCGGATAAAGCTTACCTTGTTTGCTTAATGGATTTCATCATGGATTTGGTACATAAAAACCAACCATTATGGACTTTGTACACAATCCATCGTTTGCTTGATGGATTTAGCAGGGACAAATCCATGGGGCCCACAGTGTTTTATAGTTCAAATCCGTAGACCCCACGGACTTGAGAATTCCACCCCAAGAGGTGGGATTTGTGTTGGGGTACAAAGTCCATGGTTACTTTTTACAATTTTAACCCTACTTATTTCACTAATCACCAACTTATCCTCTTTCATTTACTAATGACCAACTTGTAGTGCATATTAATTTTGCATTCAATATTTATTATTATTCATTGCACACAAGCACTACATTATTAATTTCAAAGCATACTTTGCAACATTGAAAACCTTAAAGAATTGTCTAATTGTGTGTATAATATAAAGTTATTGATTGATGAAGTTTATTTGTTCCGATAGTGTTAGTGGAACGAAGCTATTAGATGAAAATTGTTTTGCAATAAAAATTATAATGTAAAAATAAATAATACTCAATAAGGGCACTAAGGTAAATTCCTAATACAACCACAAATATAACAATGTCAAATCCATCATGAAATCCAACAAGCAAACAATGGTTTGTACCAAAAACTATAAATGGGGCAATTCCATCATTTATCCATGGTTTTGTAAAACCAAGGTTTTAACAAAAACCTTCATTTTTCAAATCCATGAAGCAAACGAGCCCTAGGAGTGGTTTTAACGCAGTTCTGTTTTTAGGATGAAAGTGTAACTTCCCACGCGAATTTTTAGCATAAATTATAGGGGATTGCTATTTGTCGCCCTAAAATTTTTTATTCGTCTTCCTAATTAAGTTTATTTTATTCTAATGCCCTTAATTCGTTTGATTGTATTTTAAGCACTTAAACCCAAAACAACCTTATAAATTACCGGGAAAAAATAAACTTATATGCTGAAGAATAGTAAAGCAGCTGCCCGTTGGAGATGAAAATTCCCGAAAAATAGGGTAGACTTTAATATTGAAAAATCTCCTATCCTCTCCAGGAGGTTAGAAAAACTCTGTTCTCGAGCCCTCGTAACCTCGTTTACGGGAGCGGTTACACGCATCAACGAAGGCAGAGCCGGAGGGAGAGTAGCAGCTACGAACGCGACGCCAGAGGCGGCAGTGGCGCGGGTCGGCAGTTGGAGCGGTGGGTTCGGTTTGCCAACTACAGCGGCTTTGGAGATGCGGCGGTGACAGGTGGTGGACAGTTTCTTTGCATTCGTCGGTTCCCATCAATGAAATCCGGCTTAGGCGAGGCAGGCGGCGATGGTTGCCTAGATCAAGCCGGGAGAGGAAACAGAGTCGCGATGATCTTCTTCTTCTTCCGCAGGTGCATATCCACTTGAAGAAAAGAATACACAGGCACATGGTGTAGCGAAGGAACACGAAGACAATCCTGAAGCGACGGGGAGGGCGTCAATCATCTGCATTTCAGAAGGATCCACCCCCAGAGCAAAGAGCAATCAGAATAAAGGTGTAGCCGACCGGTGGGGAGCGGGTTCACAATCAGTTATTGTGGCAGATCTGAGGCCTTCTTTTAACTGGACGGTTTCTTCGCTTTCCCTCTTTTCGGCGACCTTCCAGTTCATGCTCAGTGGATCTGGTCTACCTCTCCTTGACGCGTTTACATACTACTCTGTTTTGTTATTCGGATTATAGCCAGTGGCTTATGAGTTATGGGCCTCATTGACTCCGTTTTCAGGGAGATATTGGGTGCCATTGAGTGGCCATATTTCGTTTGTTCATTTTGCAGGCTTCATCAATGCCAGAACAGTTGATACAGCGACACAATGGTTGGAAATTTGGAGGACTAGTGTATAGCAATGACGATTATGTTTTCTCTTCACACTTTCAATTCCGGCATCCAAATTCCGGTGGCAGTTACAAATTGGAGCCTTCAATTCTAGATGGAGAACGATTGTGACGGTTACAAGTACAGGACAGTTACAATTATGACGGATATGCGGTCACAATTCCACATGTGGTTCAGAACCACGTTCAGTTTACGACTTTTAATTCTTACTCAATGATATATTTAATTATACACTTGTGTTTGGTACATTTGTTGGGTGTTGATTGCAGGTTTGTGGTCGGCATAAATTGGCTGATAGAAGGTTCTTCAAGAAGTTTGTCGGAAGAAGACTTCTTTTGCGTTTATTCGTTTTTTTTATGTTTCTAGGCATACTAACAGGGCTGCCCATTGCGTGGCATAAACGGTTCTTGCATCGGTAGCAACCCTTTTGGTTGACTACCGCTCTTTTATTTTCACTGCATTGTATCACTCTATCTATTACTACAAGTAATCATGCCCAGCCCATTGGCCGGTATAGTTTTTTTTTTTTTACTTTGAAAGGAAGATGGAGTTCTGTGAAATATCAATAGAATATATGAAACTAAATTTTGGCTTAGTTGTGTCATACATTCATTTCAACTACAACAACACCAAGTTTATCATGGCAGAAGTAAAGTGTGTATATAAAATTAAAGAAGTTGAAAACTAAGAACAAATTGTATAGTTATCAAATAAAAGAACAAATTGTATAAACCAACTTTATGCTATGAATGTCCACCTCGAAACTTCAATTGATCACCTTGAGGAATTATTGATCACCTTGAGGAATTATAAGCAATAAGCAAAAAGCAAAGCATAAACAATTTAAAAATCCACTCACCAACATTCCCATACATGAAAAGCAAACTACTAAATATTGACCTTATATAATATAAGTTTGCTTAAATTGGTCTAGAAAAATTCCCATACATGAAAAGCAAACTACTAAATATTGACCTTATAAATATATATAAGTTTGCTTTAATTGGTCTAGAAAAATTGATAAGAACTCGATTGATGTCCACTTTTACTATATTTGGTGTCTAACTCCTTAACACAACTTTTATTTTTATTAGGCAATCACCATAAGAACTCGAAGTAGCCATCTTCCAATAGCAACTTATCACTAAACATTGTGATAATTTGAGAGAGCTTTTTCGAGCTTTGCAATGCAAAATTCCTCCTTTCGTCACTCCACTTTTGTTACAAAGGGATCCCTTGGAATAATTCGGTCCAATGAAGTTCCTTATAATCGTTAGTTCATTATGCTTCTTTGCTTCCCTCCAAACCTATTCAAGTTTATCGTTCCTTAATTCGTCATCATCCCCATCATCAATTTCCAAGTTCATTCACCTACCCATACATTGGACGCACAAATAACTCCGCCGCAAGGAATCATGGAGTAGAGAGCAATGGTGTGGAAGATGGAGGGGTACGGGGAGAGGCATACTTACGAATTGGGACAGAGAGAAGCCACCGACAACAATTTTTAATTTTCGGCTGGTATTAACTACTAAATAGGTAACGACTCACCACCAGCGATTAATTTCCGAAACTTGAGTCAGTGACTGGGAAAAGAAGCGGGCACGGAGGGATTTGTTGATTCGGCGGCAGCAAACTTGTACAGAGATTTTGGGGGATTGATGAAGAAGAAGAAAATATAAGCAGCGGGGAAGGGATTTGTTAATTCGGCGGTGGAGGACTTGTATAGAGATTTCGGGGGATTGAAGAAGAAGATATAAGCAGCAGCAGAGGGATTTGTTGATTCGGCAACTGCGGCGGCGGTCTTGTACATAGATTTTTGAGTGACTAAAGAAGAAGATACCTCGACGGCGGGCGTTGTGGAGAGGATACGCGACATGCTGGTTTGTGGTGTGTAAACTGATCGTAGAGAGCGAGAAGAGGAAGGGTTGAGTAATTTACAGGATTGTCCTCCTGAACAATGCGAGTTGTGCAGGAAGAGCTGATGTGGCAAACTCTTTTTTATGATATTGGCTTATAGTAATTTGTAGATCTATCTATGACAAAAAAAAAAAATAGTAAATGAGTTTCTGCCCTCAAACAGTTTACTTGCACGGAGCGAACAAGGAGAGACTCTGAGTAGGTTGCTGGAACGTTGGTTTTCACGGCGGCGGGAGCTACTTTTGCCCAAAACAAACTTATAAATTAAACCGATGGCATAAAACCCATCATCACGGCGGCGGATATAATCTGACGAGTTCTTGATGAGGAAGAGACCTTGTCCTTTAGGGATTTATTTGGACCAAAATTAACAAGGTCTCTCTTTTCAACTGGGACACGAAGGAATTAAGAGATCTATTTGCAGAGATTTTGCAGACCAAATTTCCAGGCAATCACGAGAGGCTTACGTCGACTGCGATTTTGGGTTTATGATTTTGTGTGTAGGGAAAAAACACAAGTGTTCTTTCGTCTTTTCCTCCTCCTTCTTGGGATCAACTCCGGCAGTAGAAGCAGAGCACCGGCGGAGGTCAAGTTGAGTTGGGCAGCTGCAGGAGAGAAGAATCCCACAGCGACAGCAGCGAAACAGCGTAAGTGGAGAACACTGAAATTTAAGGAGATGGAGCAGGGAAGAGGAAGTCTGCGGAAGAAGATGCGCTGCTGCTGCAGCAAAAGGAATGGGATCAGAGGGGTAAGAGTGTCAATTTAGTGCTTTTTAGGCATATATAATTTAAATTTTAGTGCGACGAATAGCGATTCATAAGTTATATTATCAGCCGTGCGTTTTGTTCATTAATAA